ATCAGAAATGTGACCCGCGTGAATGCTGTCTGCTCAGGACTCCCAGTCTCCGGCAGGATGTGCTGCGTGGTTTATTCTTTCTTGCAGCAGATCCAGTAAAAGCAGCTATGGGATGTGGCCAGCGGGTTTCAGGTGCACGCCAGGTTCTCAGTTAGGGGCAGAGAGGATTTTGATTTCTGTTCCTTTATTGCTCCTCATTCCTGCTTTCGTGGCAGGCTGTCACCACCCTGCCCTGTGATGTGGCCCTTCCCGGGGCTGCAGGGGAAGGCGGGAAGCCCTTTTCCCTGCCCTGCCAGCTCCCCGCACTTACCAGGGCCACCCCCTAAAAGAAGGGACCGCCAGGGCCAGCTCTGCGCCCGCACTGCAGAAGCCCACAAGGAAAGCTGTGCTGAGAGCACAAYAGCCCTAATAAAGTGACCTTTACCRAGACTTGACACCTGCTACCTCCTAAGCCTCTTACATACACAGCTTAATCCACCTGGAGGCTTTTTTGCTTGATGGAAGGTGATAAAAAAGCTGTTAGGCTGTAAGCTCTGTCTTAGATTCAAAGCGTGTCGGCTCCTTGATGGTCTGAAGCTTAGGGCACACAGAGGGGAAAAATATTTCTCAGTTCAGGTGGAATTCTCAAGTTGCTTATTAGGGATGAAGCCCGGCCTGGGAATCATCCTGTTACTGGTACAAAAGCAGAGACACGGCCTCTCGTAGGACGCAGGGCTCTGCACACAGGTAACGTGACGGTGATCGTAAAGCTTTCCCGGCAGACAAGGGGGACAAAGGAGCCCAACTCCAGAAATTTACAGTCTGCAGAGGATGGAGCAGATTGGATTCTGGATACCTTAAAGGTGAACGCTCTAAAACATGCATCAATCTGTAAGTGATGAAAACCCAGTCCCCTCTCATTATAAATAATCCTCTCCAAGACAATAAGGCGAGGACCTAAATCAAAAGGTTATCAGTGTGTGATTTTTACCCTGGCAGAAAGGGGAAAAGCAGAATAAAAGACAGGCTGCCCTGTCTGGGAGAGAAAATCAGAAAGAACTAACCGTATTAACAGCTGATGTCCCCCAACAGAAAATGACTGGAGAGGAAAAYGAAGCGCAGTGGGCAGCGTGAGGGGGCAGCTCCCAGCGGAAGGCAGTGGGACTYGGAGAAGTCGCCCAGGTCCCCAGCAGCGCGGGCTCCATCTCCATCAGGGAGGGAGGCCTGTGGCTCCTCTACCCTGCACCTGGAGATAAGGGGCAGCAGAGGCACCAGCGCTGGCCTGGTGGGGCCTGGTGGCAGCGGCCAAGCRAGCAGCCTCCTCCTCGGCACCGCAAGAAGGGCACGGAGCAGCCCCTTCATCGCAGGCTCTGCCTAGCACAGGCTCCTCTTCGTGCTCCCCCGGGCATTACTGCCAGGAATWTTCCTCTGAAGGCCAACGTTGACCCTCTCCCATTGCCACGGGGCCTTCAAACATTTTGCCCTCTGTGACTGACCCAGGTGACTGCCTTCTTGCTTCAAGGGGTTGGATGGACACAGCTCAGAAGGCAGCCACCCAGCGAGGGAGATCATGTCTAAGAAACACTGTCACGCAGCATAAGGCACCAACAAAATCAGTAGCTGGCAGCTGGGTCKCTGCCTTTGGTCACCTAGAGGTGAGGGCACTTACAGGCACGTGCAGGACAAAGGCTCGTGTCTGAAACATCCAACCTGCATCGTGTACGGATGCAACACCTAAAGGAGCAGTATCTCTCCTTCATCCACTGGCTTTTCGAGTATGGGCCATTTATACGAAGCGAGTGGAACATTGATCCTCCTGCTCCTCAGGTTTCCCGAGATCATTTGGCACTAGCAGTGCTGCGATTAGTCACACCACGGCTGCCGCTCCTGCCAACCGACGCAGCACATTCCCGCCACACACAAAGCAGYGCTCCAGGAAAACCCAATTCAATCAATTTGAGCAGCCCTTCTTGTGCTACATTGGTATAACATGTATTGGGCAGATAAAGTTGTGATCCTATCTAATATATTCTTTGACTGACGCGGGGAGTGAATGGAGGTATCTAATGGGATCCAAGCCCGCTGTCAGAAGATAACGGCATCATTATTTACTGAAGATTGACCAAAAACCGAGGGAGGGGGCAGGAAGGCTGAACCACTGCCTCCCACGTCTGCGCCGAACACGAGCACGGCAATACATGAAGGAATAAATCAGGACGAGCTGATGGGGACCTTTGGCAGCAAGCTACAGGCAAGAAGTAGCTGAGAACAAGGAAGACTTCCACTCACACACACGATGCCAAGCGCTGCAGACCTTGGGCTCTCATGATGTCATTTCGTGCAAGCCACAAGGCACCTTCAGCTCACCCAGGGCAGCCACATCCCTGGAGCCACCGAAACACTTGTGCCTCCCGCTGTGGCCATTCCCGAGCCCTCTACAGCTCCAGGCCACCCGGGCTGGGAGAAAGGCAGAATCATGTTTTAGAAGTTTCTCCCAGTTGCTCTGGTCATCTAAAGCCTTAAATAGGTAGTTAAGGTTCCAGGGTTTAGACTATCTAGAGTTTGACAGTCTTCTAACACTAGAGCTGCACAGAACAAGTACATCAGCTTGAACCTAAACTACCTTGGAACAAAGGCAGTCAGGGATTTCTCTCCTAGCTATGTATGTATTTTAAAGAAGAGCGGGAAAAAARGGATTTAAAAGGCCGCGCACCTTGTGTCTGCTGCTCCTGCGCGGTGCAGCCTGTCACACCTCCTGACAAGAGCCCTGCGTCTGGGGGCAGCTCCGCTCACGGCTCGTGCATGGCCTGCACCACACTGTCCTGGCCAACACAGGGCCTGTGACAACACGCACCTGGACAGCGCTCAGAGCGACTGTGGGGTCCACCCGGCTCCAGCACTAACCTCCCAAAGCCCCGACTTAAAACCACGGCCAGGCTTGGTCCTGCGCCAAGGTCCTTGTGTCCGGAGAGGCAAGGGACCGTGCCCTGAGGAAGGCGGGCACRTGCACGGAGCACCGAGCATCCCATGGACCTCCCTCTGGCCAGACTCCGCTGCCCTTGCAGTGTGGAACCCATCGCTGCTGCTTCTCAACTCCTGTCCCTGCCTTATTTAGTTATTTGGAATGACCCTCCCCAAGGCCATTTACGAAAAGTTTTTTCCTTATGCTTTTAATACGAAGTTTTTTTACTTGACATCTTCTGACAATTTAATTAAATTACCTTTCCCTGCTGATTACATTCATTTTTACACTCTGTCTCTGTGCCAATTTTGATCCACTTAATTAGTTTTAACCCTACCCCACACYGCTCACCTTCAGAAGTCACCCTATYACATAAACTCAGTTGTTTTTCTTACATAAACTATCAGAACACAGAGGACCTTTTGGAAAAAAAACACTTAGTTTCTTAATCATAACACGAAGCTACTTATGAAGTTCTATGGATGACCCATTGCAGCTACAAAGAATTTAATAGAATTTTCTCTCTTCTTTTTTGAGTTACATAAGGCCTCACTTTTAGTAGCTAAGTGACTAAAAGCCAAGATATATCGAGTACTAGGAACCATCACCAGCTGTTGCCTATTAGGATATATTTTAAAATTGCATCATGRCTTTCTCCTCACTAAATGATACCTGGGAATTACTTTGCTCCCGAAACGTTTTTCAGATGCCGTGCCTGCTTCCCTGTGGGTCAGAAGCCGTTGGGCCTGGAGCCCCTCTCACCTAAGCTCAGCTGTTCCATGGAGAGGGTAAATTTGGGATCCATCTGTGGGCCCTTCCTCCACAGCTCACARGAACAGAGGGACCCTGTGACACCCGCAGGAGTGCCAGGGAGAGCGGCTGCCTGCCAGGTAGCCCGGGCAAGGCAGCAACGGCACCCGGGGCAGACGGGCAAGTCAGCGGCTCCACACGAGGAGCCCGTACAAAAGACTGAGCAGCCCTGTCTGCATTCCCGGCACTGCAGCACACTCATGACAAATTGAAAAGATTCTTTTTTACGTTCATCATCAACATTAATGCCTTAAGAATTAAAGTTGCAATGATCTCTGAAGTGGCTCCTGTACTGCTACAAACCCAGTTAGTACGTTTCAAGATTGTTATTCGATGTCCATAAACTCAGAGGAATATTTCAAACAGCACAGTAAAAATGTATTTTATTTTTTCGCTTGCTTGTGGAAATGACAACCTGGTAGACTAATAYTGGATAGCTGATTCATGGAGCATGTGCCTTTTTTTTTAACCCATGCATTCAAATTATTTTGCTGGTGTCAAATCCTTAGCTGAATAAAAGTGCAGCTAAAAGTTGAGGAAAAGAATAACAAAACATCCAGGCATCTGCTGTTACCCACAGTAATAAGTATTAGGGAAAAATCAACCATCMCTACCACTTCCTTTTAAATAGATTCTCAAATTAGTCAAAAGAGATGGGTAAATCACTTCACCTTCTCCMTTAAATAAGGATAACTGCACTGTAACACCCACCTTCTTTCCAGGAAATAAGCAGGAGGTTGTTAACTGAACACCATACACAGCAAAGAACACGAGGATTATAAGGGTTTTTACCTTGAAAACACCACAGATTTCTTTTTGAACTGATTTGTCTCAAGCACTTCACATATATCCATAAAACAGCTCAAAGGGACACTGCAGCTGCCAGTTACAGATTTGCTCAGACTTTGGTAGAAAAGCAGCGAGAAAAGCCTTCGCTTTGCACCTTGGTGGGACCACTGCCTTGCTGGCAGATCCTGTAAACCCTGGACAACTCCCTACRCCACTGGTGCTGGTTTAAGAATGAAACCGTCCAGGCTGCAGATGAAGAGGCACTTGGCTGGGAAGAGCCTCTCTTCGGGGGGGGCAGTTTCAGTTGCAGAGACCGGAGCTCGGAGGCAGAGCCCCCACGAACCCTGCAGCAATGGGCTCAGTATACCCCACCTCAACACACAAACCCTAATGTACACYGTGCTGTGCACCCTGAGAGCTGCTACTTGCACATTCAGGTCCCCTGCTCCGTGACACTCACCTGTGGAAGCCTTGGCACTGCTCCTAGCCATGGCACCAGGGCTTTGAGTTCATTAAGAGACTTCAGAATTATGGCAGACCTGCTGCAGATTTTCCACCCATGTCTGATTGGCTTCACCGACTGTCTGGAAGAAAGTCAATGTCTTAAAAGTGTTTTTAACAGGAGGATTCAGACCAGCCCCGAATCATCCCTCCCCAAAGTCAGGCATGATACTGGATAATTATAGAAATAAAGAACATAATTAATCAATGTTGGTTTATGAAGGGGAGAAAAGACAGAGTTTATCAACCAACCTATCACTAAGAAGACAACTACCCAATTACAGGGCAGCTTCTCCCCCACCGCTCTAGACCAGGCCAACATGTGGAAATGCCCCTCACTGCAGAGAGCGTCGCACACGAGGCGAGCAGGATCCTAACTCAACTAAGTGCAATGGTTGAAGGTTAGGCAGCATGGCTACAAGCCTGTATGTTACCCTTGGAGATCCAGAACTGACAACAAATTACATTAGCATTTTTCCCTTTTTCCAAATCACCTTTTCCTTTATGCACTTTCCCGTTTATGAAAGTTCTCTACCAACCTTAATGGGGATTTTGACCCAATGTATCTTGTGATAAATGCCATAATCATTCATTTGGAGGCTGTCCCATGTTCTCAAGACCATAGATTTTTGGATCACAGCCTTTTATTTCATTTTCATTTGGCTTCTGTTCCTAAGCACTTTGCTTATTATCAAGTCCTTTTGTTGTGTGCACTCTGGTTCCATTCTACTAATTGGCTTCAGTGTAGGTCTATAATCCCTATCAAATTATCTCCTACTGTAATTGAGCCTGCTACAACCATACTGCCTATGYAACCCCTCTTGAAGTCATGCTCTCATGGCTGTAATATCTGTACCTACATCTTAACTTGTAGTATCTTGCTGTACGCTATTTCCTCAGCGGTTGCACATCTGAAGTCATCCTGGGGGAAAAAGAAATATATATATATGTCACTTAAAAAATGAATGCTTTCTTGTAACTACAAAATAACTGACACAATGGTCAATATCTAATGCTAAAATTAAAAATCAGCCCTTTCAGCTAAGTCTGGATAGGTTAGTGATCTTTTGGAAGAGAGAGTCAGTCACCTGTGCATGGTCTAGACATGCAAGTTTCATGTGGTTTAGGTGAGGGAATAGGAATCTACTCAAGAACCAAATAATTGTCCAAGATTTCTACACTGATGTTGTTACACAGAACAAAACCATGACAGACAGCTGCCAGGAATGATGAAAAATGAGAATAATCTACAGGTGGTGTTTTAAGAAGTGGATTATAAAATGGCAAATACAGTCAGCTAAAGAGAACCTCCTGTAAGGCTCCTTTTGCCTTTTTTTTGCGGGGGGGATTTATTCATCAGTTGCACTGGGTAATATCTTCATAGTATCTTTATAGGTTTTAAGATAGGCAGGCCAGTTGAACTGAGAGCATGCACAGCACAGTTTGAGAAATCAATTAAAACATTCCTACATTTAACCTCTCATTTTGTAGTTCACCAACTCGATTCAAAAAATAACGTCCAGTACTTGGATTTTTTTTCTATCTTTTGGTTAATCTGCTCCARTGGACAATCAGTTTTACTGTTACCATTGTTGGAGTAATTCATTAGCATATAGGTTTAATTACATATAGAAATATACCTTAACTGTGACTGACAAAGCACAAACTGCATTTTTAGGTAAGTATTTCCTCTACAGAGAAGTTCCTCAGAATAACAACAACAACAAAAAAGYCCTTTTTAATTCTAAATTGAGACTTCTTAAAGATTCTGCAATGTCATCCTGACAAATCAGCAGCTTCCTTGGAGAATATAAATTGCACTAACATAATAATATATTGAAATGCAATTGTTTGTCATCAGATTAGAATGGGCATGACATAAAATAAAGATGAGAAAAGATGTGTAATAAACTGATAGTTGYATCAGCATAAGAAAAAAAGTGTTAATTTATTTCTGAAAGCAGAAATTTAAGACTGCCAAGTTTTGGGGTTTTTTTTTTTTGCATTTTGCAATATCTCTCATTCAATTCACAGAAAAGCCCTCAGAAGACGTTACAACACGGTGGTCTCTAGGACAAGGTTAGGGCCGAACTCCCTATTCCCGGAATTTGTACACGGGAGGTGTACAAATCTCTCCTGTATGACTGCCGTCTCCGAACCGAGGTGTCTGTGTAGCAGCTCAGCTGCCCCCTGCTCCCTCTGCTCTCAACAGAGACAGAATTGAATTCCTAAGGCGGGAGAATTCCTGTCCTACCCCCACCCGCCGAACAAATCCCTTCCTTCCCCTCAAACTGAATGGCTTCACTGAGATTACTTGTCAGGTAAATGTATGAGAATCTGCTCTTTATTTTCCAATTTCTCTCACTGCGCTTGATTTATTATCTACGTGGAGACGAATTCTGGTTGCTTTATAAGAAGGCAGGCCTGCAAGCATTGCCCTGGGATATCATGTCAAGACTCTGTTCTCCTCAATTCCATATATTTACCTCCCCTGAAGTATTTGCGGAGAGCAATCACGGTCCCTCGCAGCCCTCGCTCTGCTAGTCCAAACAAGCCGGGTCCTTTGTTCTGCCTTGTAGGACCGCTCCGCACTTTCCTGATCCCCCAGTAGCCCTTCTTGGCACTCCTTCCACATGGAATTAATCCTTCCTGCACACGTTGACCTGAAGCGCACACGCTACTGCAGCTATGGCCTAATACAACAGCATTTGTACTTCCAGCTCCGCTGGAAATGCACACTTCTTTGGATGCAAGCTGTGCTTTATGGAGCTTCACAGGCATCCTCAGCTGGACCAGGAGCCACCAGCCTCTCCCCTGCGCCTGTGTTTCCATGGAGGAGCCCATCACACCTAGGCCTCCCTGGTGTTAATGAGCCTAACGAAACAGCAAACCCGCATTTGTGACCGGCCTCACTAGCCAGGATAACGAGCACATAGTAAGGTCATTGTTTGGGGGCTGTTTTTTCAGGAGCTTTTTCCAAGCCTTTTCCAGGATCAGCAGCCCCTTCCAGATGCCCTTGGCGGCCTGTGGCTCTTTCTACAAGAGTGGCAAGGAGCTGCCAGAAGTTTGTGCTGTCTTTTCCTCTCTATTTGGTTTGCAAAATACTCTACCCGGCTCATCCGAATGGCTGAAAACGAAGAAATCCACACAGTTTAATGATACAAAATGGTTCAAATTAGTGTCCGTCTTGTTTTCCTCAGTAGTTTAAGGGATCAATATTAATGAAGAGAGCAGCTATAAACATCTCTAATGAGGATGAAGTGGAATATCCCAAACTACAGCAGCCGGTGCTTGAGCTCGCACCAATGAGGATGACATCTGCTACCAAAGGCCGCATTTTAATCCAGCGGCAATAATAACAGTGAAGTTAGTGCTATTGGTAAATTTTAATAGATGATGTCTTACAAAAGCGTCCTACTTGAAATTCAGCCCAAAGACTAAATTAAAGTCAAAGCCCTAGTCAGTTAACCGGCCTCTAACACGTGAGGAATTGATTTTCTTATTTTCAGCTGTCAGGCCTGCTACGAAGAATGAGTTTTAATTCTGGGGATGTTATTAAACTCCTTGCTTAAGCGGCAGAAAAACGGCGCAGGCGGGCGGGCGTCCGCGGCCTGAGTGACACCTGCCAGGGCGTGATGGACGACCCTCCCTGCCCCGCGGCCCCCGCTCTGTCACTCAGGCCGGGGACATTAATCTTCATCGCGGCGCTGTCAGGCGCGGGCGGCCGCCTCAGCGCTGCCGTCACCATCGCCTCAGCGCTGCCGTGGCCGCCTCAGCGCTGCCACCGCCACCTCAGCGCTGCTGCCATCCCCTCAGCGCTGCCGCCATCCCCTCAGCGCAGCCGCCGCCCTCGCCTCAGCACTGCCGTTGCCCTCGCCTCAGCACTGCTGCCCGCCGAGCGGCAGCGCCGCGCGCAACGAGCGCTGATTTACGAGGGTTTGCCGCCGCCACCACGGCCGCGCACGCCCCGTGCCGGGCCGAGATGCGATTAGACAGATGGGGGACAGGCCCGGGCTGCCGGGCCGGGCCCCCCGCTGTGCCTGCCGCGCGGCCCCGCGCYGCCGCAAGCCAATCAAGGCGCTGGCACTTCCATTACGGGTAATAAAGGGACATTCATCATTCAATTAGGCACCTGTCACRCGCACACAAAAGGGGGGAACCTCCAACCTGCGGCTCCGCGGAGGAGGCGCCGCAAACGCCAGGCGGAGAAGTAAACGGGGGGGAAAATATAAATAAATAGGGTGAGGGCGATTGCTGGACGGCCAGACAAAAGGAAATATGTTAAGATGGACGCCAAGTTTCCCCTGGGCAAAAACGGGCAGAGTTCCGTGCCCTGACAAGGTGATGGAGAGATCCGCCCTGCTGCTCTGCACAGGGTGCTGCGGAGTCTCCCATGTGGCTTCAGGGAGAGGCGAGCGTCAGCATGGAGAATCTCCTGGGAAGCGGGAGGTGGCTCCAGGACGCCGATGCCGCTGTGCAAGGGCCTGCCCTGTGCACAGCCTGCCACGGGCAGCAGCGCTGCCCTTGCGCCCAGCTCGCTGCTGGGCCTCAACTGGAACRGTGCGAGCACCTGGGTACTTCTCCCGGCCCAGCTAGAAACAACAGCAATTTGGTGGGAGCCCTTCCAGCAAAGCAAAGCTAGTCACAAATCACCTGGCCAGCGCCTCGGCGAGCGGCAGGACGCAAAGAAGCCCAAGGAGGCACCTGTCCTTCCGAGCCCCCCCGCACAATTTATGAGCCTCACACTTGGCAAAACCCAGGTCTTGAAAGTGATCCAAAATCATAATGTCGCCACGATGAGATTGTTTCAGGCAGAGCCTGGAACTGTTGTGAATCCATCCTGTTCGGCAGCTGCAAATAACAGGTAAAAAAAACCCTAATAATATTAGATTGCCGAACAGCTGCCTGTGCAATAAACTCCGTTAAGTTGATTACCTGCTTGCTAAGAAGCTTTATGTTAAATTGCAACTCCAACATTAAATTACCAGAGTAGCAAAGCTGGGCTTTGCTTAGAAAAATAGAAAGCTAATCCAAAAGTGTTCTCTAGAGGTGATGAATGAAATCCTGGATAAGCACCTAGAATGGGTAAAAACATCCAGAGCATCTTGGCGGGTTGAATCTAAGCGTCCCACTCCAAGGGGCTGTGGACGCAGAGCAGGGCAGTGCAGATGCCTCCGTTTATCATAGTACCAAGGGCAGGCTGCTTTCGCCCCCGCGCCGTCACAGCAAGGCCAACGCCAGCCTCACTAACACAGCTAACACAAGCTTCCCAGCAGCTCCTTCCTTGGCATCCCACGGCACGTGCACGCACACACACACACACGGACCCGTTCCCTCGGACATGGGGCAGCAGGCTCCACCAYGAGGTGTTGCAGAGACCTGCCTTAAATCTCACTAAAAATCTACGGATCTGAGTCTCTGCATCACCTCAGAGCACAGGTCTTACACACACAAATCATTCTATTGATTTTCCAAATTCTGCCTAAATGATACAAAAATGAAGAGAACTGCTTGGGAATATTTTTTCCGTTAATGAGGAAAAGTACTGTCAGACAAATTTGCTTCAGAACAGCCTATGACTAAGGCCAAGCATCAGCTATTATTCAGAGCAGCAGCAGCCCGGGCCCGTCTTGCTGGGGAGCAGAGGGAACCATGTGGTGTTTGCCACAGCAGCATCCGCACCTACACGATGGCGCAGGAGACGGGAAGAGCGGAGCTGTGCGCTGGACAGCCCCCCGAGCCATCCGTGTTCACGCCCCAGGGCCATCTGTTCCAACAGCTCCAAGAACCTAAGGGTGCCCAYGGGCCCCTCGCAGGGCGCGGGAAACACCACTCTGCAAAGGTTCCTGAGCCGGCGTGGAGACGGGAAGGGCGACGTACCACAAAGACAAGTGGCAGCACCTTGCATCCTCCTCATTACACTG